GGCGGGGGGGGAGGAACACACAAGGGGATAACTCAATACCGTACGTCGTGTTTTACTATCGTATCCATACGACGTGGGGAAGTCTGTGTCGCCACTTTCCAAAGAGGGAATTTACTCGTTAATCCGATCTGTACACTTTGCATAGCAGTCTGTCAAAAGATTTTTTTGAGAAATACTGAAAGTTTCAAAGAGATCTTCGCACTGGAAGTATTCTAAAATGTAAAGAATACAACCCCGGGTGTACAAAATGACCACAGGGCGTACTTATAGGGTTAAGTCTTACAGGGGGAAGAGATACGGGGGATTCAGATAGATACAGTGGTGAGATAGGTGAAAAAGATGCTGATTGAAACACTTAAATGTCTGTCTTTGAGTGGGTGTGTCGGGGCATACCGGGGGGGAGGGGGGCATACACAAAGGGGGGGGGGGTAGGTATTACAAAACAGGGGTGCAGGTTCGGGGAATTCAGTTAGATATATACAGCTAGTGGTAAGATAGGTGAAAAGGTGGTTAAGCAGATACAATGGTGAGATTGGTGAAAACAGGGGGGTTTTTTAAGATAAAGTGGTGAGATTGTCTTGTAAATATAGTGATGAGACAGGTGATTGTAGTGATTCGAGTCAGCAGGCCTAAAAGTGATACAGGTAGATAATTTGTGGATCAGACAGGTCTGAAGGTGATACAGGCAGATAGTTTATGTGGCGGGATAGTCAGGTAGATCCAAGAGGGAAGGTCATACAGGGATTAGGTCGTACCGTGAAGGAGGTTCGGTAAGGTGAATACAGTCAGATACAGGGAATGTGACAGATAGATACAATTGTGTGATTGTCATAAATAGGCCCTAGAGGTAAGGACAAAGTGTGTCTTACAGTGGTAGAGGTGCGGGGAATACAGGCATACAGTCACCTGGAAGCAATGATGTGACATTCAGATTGACAATTGTCTGGGTCTGGGGGCCATGACAGTCAAATAGAGCATAGGGGAAGGGACATACAGGAGTAAGATCTTACTGCAGTTTCAAGTGAGGGGAATACTCTTAGACTCGGATACAATGATAAGGTAATCAGACAGATACTCTATTTGTAGAATGGTTGGAGACTTTAAAAATCGAGTATAGTCTGCAGCAAATTATGTTAAGCAGAAGCAAAGAGTTTTCGTTCACTGAATATGGGAATTTCCTGTCGCAAAGTGTTGCGTTGTTGATTAAATCTGGACATTTCTTATTGTAAATATCAATGTGTCGCTACCTCAGAATTACACATTTTTATTTGACATTGTTTGCTGTTTTGAGCTTTTAGGACCATAAGGTTCTATCTACTCTATCAAAATCGTAAGATTATTCCGAGTCGTTATCAAGATATTCAAAGAATTACATTCGAAAAAGGTTGAGATGCATTGAAACTCAATTTTTTTGTAAAGTCAAATTTCTCAAAACTAGGAACTGAGCAGATACAACTTTGTCATTCTGAGGTAGCGGTTTAGCAGAAGTAAAGCGATATCGCTGACTGAATATGGGAAGTTCCTGTCGAAAAAAGTGTTTCACAGTTGACTAAATCTGGACACTTCCTTTTGTAAATGCCAATGGGTGTCACAAACAAAGTGTACGGCTGATTCAGTTTGAGCATCTTCTGGTTCGAAAGTATGCCACGACTGAAGTATACCGCTGATTTGGTCGCTTTTAAGCACAAAGGGGGCTATCCCGAAAAATGCTGTTTTGAGAAAATCGAAGGTAACGTTTTTGGACACGTGAAATCTATCTTTAAAAGAGAAGGAGGGTTTTCTCTATAACCAAACAAATATACACCAAAACGAAATTAAACTTCTCCTATAGGTAGGGCAATACCCACTTTTGGTGTAGGTCAAGATTACTGGAAACCCCCGAAATCTGGGTTAGCCCGATTGTCCTTAAAAGCGACCATTTAATCTATGTTGTAAAACCACCCGCCCCTCTCCTCCCTTTCCCAGCTCATTCTCTCCAACCCCAGATCCCAACCCAAACTCTGGCGTGCTCCAAGTCAAAAGTTCTGTTCTAAGTAATATACCGTTACCATAGAATTACAAAGTTCTATCTGACATTTTTGGCCATTTTGAGTTACTAAGACCGTGATGTCAGACACCAAATGTTCTATCTGCTCTATCAAAATTGTAAGATTATTCGGAGTCGTTATCAAGATATTCAAAGAATTGCATTCGGAAAGGCTTGAAATGTGAAGCTCAAAACTTTTCACGCCAAATTTCTCGAAACTATATACAGACAGAACTTTGTAAAATAGGGTAGTGATATATTGTTATCTACGTAGATGGAACATTTGTACCATAATGATAATATGTTAATGATACATTGACGACTTCTAGGAAATGTTGTGAGAGTGAAATCGTGATATCAGTCAGTCCCTTCCTTCAGCTTGAGAACGGACACATTCCAGACCACGGACAACGCTTGATGTGTCAAGTTCAGTGTAGAAGACAATCCTGAGTACATAGTCACTGTCTCTACTTGCCAGTCTACACACGTGTCGTTTACCTTTGTTTCAAACCCTAACCTATGCTACCCCCCCCCCCCTTTCTCCCTAATTTCATTCCCCATTTGTTCCCTAAACCTTTCCATAACCTTTATAACCCTCTCTCTCCCCCACCCCCTCCTCCCTTCCCAACATTCACACAACCCTAACGATATGGCATACTCCCATCATAATTGTGTAAGGAATGTTTGAGTCAGAAAGAATTACTCATATATACCCATAAAAGAATACGGCAACGATGTCTTTCGTGCTGACGTCACACAAGCGCGAAGATTGGAGGTTCACGGACTGGCGCCGTAGGTTTACTTTCTACACGTGCCCAAGCACTTACTAATGCATGTGTTCTCTAGCAAAATGATAATAATAATAATAATAATAATAATAATAATAATAATAATAATAATAATAATAATAATAATAATGATGATAATAATAATGATAATAATTATAATAATAATAATAATAATAATAATAATAATAATAATAATAATAATAATAATAATAATAATAATAATAATAATAATAATATGCATAAAGAAATTCCAGTCTTTTTTTCTAGGGTTTTTTTTTGTCTTTGTTTTCATTCGTTTTGTTTTGCCCCCATCACTAACATGACCTCCATAATCGCTATGTAAAGTGCAATAAATAAATCCTGAGGTATTTTCCTCATCGACGTCAAAATAAGTTTAAAGTGTCTCATAATAATATATCCGCGTATCATCAGAACTAAGAGAAAACTCGTTCACGGGCGTGACAAAAATACAAAGAAATTGTTCGAAATTCAGAAACTACTGCTCGTATTTTTTAAACTAATTTCTTGAGAATCGAAAAAAACAAAAATACAAAAACCAGCCGTGAAGACTCCGCTGGAGTTGTAAGCTGATTCTGGCAGCGGTCATATTGGTTACACAGCGAATGCTCATCAAAAGGGAAATCGGACACCTTGGCCTGATGCCTGGGGCGAAGTACGAAAGAAGAGCAATATTAGAGTTCCAAAAGGATTGGAATTAAAGGTAATGATTTCTCACATATTCTTCCTGGAATATGATCTAAACGACGAGTTGCCAAGGCCATTCTTTGTCGGGATATTATATTTAATTTAAGATAGAGATTAAAAAAAAAACACCAACAACAACTACAACAACAACAACCAAAATCCAAGTTAGAAACTGTAACCAGAGCTGAATGCCTAGATTCTTTTCTTCTCAAAAGACGGGTTGAAGAAATAAGACGTATTGTAAAGCACACTGTATAGTAAGGCTTAACAATTGTGAGGCAGCGTGGTGGAATCAGGCTCTCGTCAATTTTGGGGCATGTAGAGTTATTGGTATCATCTTAAAGCTTGTTCACTTGTCTTTATTTGGTTGAAAAAGATATCCATTTATCTTGAATACAAGTAGAGATATTTGTGAATGAAGAATGTGGGAGTCACCTCTTTTCAGAGGTAAAATTAGTGAGAAAATAACCGCCAAAGATTAGTTACTTCCTTAGCTTAAGAGTCCGTGGTAACTGAAAATTTAAATTTTTTGTGCCTTCTATCAACGTTTTTAAGAAAAATCCACTCAGAAATGAGTTCTTTAATGAGAATGAAAGGTGTTGAGCCAAAAAACAAAACTTTGATAAAAATTCACTTACTTACTTTACTTTTTTCTTCCGTTTGTACTCTTGGGTGTCGCGGGGAGACACAGGTGTCTGTCTGCAGCAAGTCGTGTGGCCT